ATGGTTATGGAATTTCATTATTCTACTCATTGTGATGAAGTACAACAAAAACTAAACCTAAAAAAAAAATTGTCAGATTTGGGGAAAAATAATAAAATATGGTAGGAGAATCGCCCTGAAGGTTCTTTTTCCGATAAAACTGTGGACCCTGAACATAACATATGGGGCATCCAGTCCCTCCCCGGAAGTGTTAAACGCGCACGCACTTTGTGCTTGTAAACAGAAGCTCCCACGTGACACAGAGAACAACACAGCAGAGCAATCCGGGTCGCGCGACCGTGTTGTCTGAACGGACAAAGGAGCGAACCGCGAGCCGGAGCTTTGTCCAGGATGGCGGCCAGGTGTCCTGGCAAGAGACGTTACGTGCCGAAAAACGAAGCCAAGTTTTTCCTCCTTTAAAAAATCCAGGTCTGTGAATCTTTTGGCAGCTCGAGCCTTATGTCTGAACCGCAAACCTCCGAGCTCGGTGGGATAAAATTGTTTACTGCGTTTTTGGCTACCCTCACGCGGAGCTTTACCGAACTGTTACCGAACCTCGAGCTCCATCGCTAGCATTAGCTTTTAGCCTCTACGTCAGAGCCTAATTTAATCCCCGAACAAACGGTCATCTGTGTGGGGGGGTTTATCGGTGCCTGGATGAGATGTCATTCGCCATGGAGGATAATTTAGAGTCCGGATGGGTGTCGGTCCGACCCCGAGTCTTCGACGAGAAAGAGAGACATAAATTTGTTTTCATCGTGGCCTGGAATGACATCGAGGGAAAGTTCGCCATAACCTGCCACAATAGAACCGTCCAGAGACGGAGCGCGTTCCTGGACTTGGACTGCAGCCCCCCAGCGTCAACTAAAACTCCGATCAAAGCTGAAACACGCCAAGCTGTTAGATTTAAACCCACAGGAGACACGAATGCTCTAAAAGATGATGGCTTAAAGACATTCGAGTGCGTCAGTCACACGTTAGGCTCCTGGAATATCGTGACGCCGAAGGATGTGGAAATCCTGGACTCTGTCCCATCGTCTCCTGAGGACCCGGCAGAGGGGGAGGTCAGCCTCCGGGAGGACTTCAGCTGGGCCGGCCTGTTCTCCTTCCAGGACCTGCGGGCGGCCCATCAGCAGCTGTGCGCCGTCAACTCAGACCTGGAGCCCTGCTTGCCCCTTTTCCCGGAGGAGCAGTCCGGCGTGTGGACGGTGCTGTTCGGGGCTCCGGGGATGACGCAGCGGGAGACGGATGCTCTGTGCTACCAGCTGCAGGTGTACCTGGGTCATGCTCTGGACGCCTGCGGCTGGAAGATCCTCTCCCAGGTGCTTTTCTCCGAGGGCGACGACGCGGAGGAGGAGGAGTACTACGAGAGCCTGAGTGAGCTGAGGCAGAAAGGCTACGAGGACGCACAGGAGGCGGCCAAAAGGCGCATGCAGGAGGTATGTCTATATACTTTAATACAATGTAATGCTTCATGTCTTTTAACATTATTTAGCCATGAACCCATCAACCCTACCACCACCACCAGAGGCGTAGCCAGGACCTTTTTATAAGGGTGGCTGTGTGATAAAAGTTGGTGGGGAGACTCTAAGGCTGGTGGATCTACAGCTACTCCACCCGAACAATTTCAGTAGGGTTTATATTTTCCAAAAATGAGCTCAAGCATATATTTATTGAATGCTTTCCTATTTTTAGAACACAAGAGAACCACATTACACTGATATTTATAGTTATAGACAGATGCCTGCCTTTAGTGAATTGTTTATAAAGGGCACAAAAACATTAATGTATAAAAAATTATGAATAACAGCAGATATCAATGCAAACAGCAATACATCATGCATCCCTAGTATGGACACAACTTCAATTCCATCCATGCATTCATTAGGGGGGTAAATAATAATTGTTTTGTATGATGCATCGACCCAACAGCCGACGATCCGATGCATCGACACGTCTGCGAGAGTATCGATTCATGTTTTTTTTTTCTCCGGTCTATTTTTATCCATTTGCTCCTGGGCGTAATTCTCCCTCCTGTGCTGCGGTGGCGCTAAACCTATTTTGCCCTCCTACCTCGCTTCCTGGCTATACTCTTACAGCAGTGTGTCACAGTGAGCTTGAAGCAGAAATTTTTTTGATTTATGCTAAATATTGAAGCGTGGTCTGGGCTATACGATGTGGGTCTAGATATGGCTGAGGCGGTGAGGAATTGGGGGCGAGTTTAGTCTGACATCATAGGGACATGAGGGCCAAAAAGAGTGGGAATCCAGGGGGAAAAAGGGTCCCAGCATTCTCGCACACCTTGATCTTTTCCACAAATTTCGGTCATAAAAACAAAACAAGCCGGCCTCCTGTCTGTGGCACTGTCTGCAGTCAGCCACAATTTAGGAGAGGTGCAGCGGAGCGTCTGTGGAGGGGGCGGGGATGGCGACACTCTGGAGCCGAGGTATTGCAGGCACACATTGCACTGATTGTGTGCAGTATTTTTTGATGTAGAGCCTTTCAGAATCTATAACGTAGGGGTATTATTATTTTTCAGTGAATTAGGTTTTAATAGGAATAGGTGGAGTACAACTTTTCTATTTCTACT